TGTTTGGCGGGTCCGGGCTGGGGATTCAAACCCGCCACCTTAGGTGTACGTGGCTGGCGCCTTAGCTGGTTGAGCTATAGGCGCCGAGCCCAGGTGTCTATTTCAAAGAGCACCACTGCAGCCCCTGCCCTGCTCCCAGTGATGAGATTAGTGCAGCTTGTTGGGAACTTGGCACCAGAGGCTGTGATTACAGCTTTCCTTCCTCCAAGAGGTAGATTTCTAGAGCCCCCTCAGTTTGAGGTCTCCCAGTTGATTTCCTGCTTGGAGAATGATAATGGGGTATAGTCAGGGCCAGCAAAACTCACCAGGTCAGAGGCCAACTCCCTGCCCTACAGATGTGGAGAATGAGCCCTGAATAGGTGACAAGATCGGGCTGGATCTTCCAGGCCTGGCTCCTTCTAGAATTCCTGCTCAAGTCAACTGAATTGGAAGTGGGACCCAGATCATCTTTGGGGACCAGGAGTCCTGACATTCAGAATTCACTGGTCTGACAGCTTAGACCCCTGAGTTCCCTGCTCCCATCCTCTTCCTTCATCTTTATTTTGTCCCCCTTCTTCCAGGACAGGGAATATTGATGGCTGGGGGGAGTACCTTGCTAAAGGGATCTTAAGCCCAGAGGTTGTAGCCTGAGTGATGGTACGTTGTGGGGATAGTCCAGGTTCTGGGGCCAGTTGGGCCGGAGTTTGCATTCCTGCTTCACCAGTTAGTTCACCTCCACTCACCATGTCTGTATTTACATCATAATATAAATGAGCCAATAGATCTTTTCCTGAGAACATCCATTGCTGGAGGGAGGAGGGGAGAAGGAACAGATTGCAGGCCTGTAAAAGGAAGCAGTTTTCAAATTCTGGACCTGTAAGAAAGAACTCAGAGAGAAAGAGAGATCATTTCTTTGAGTCCCTGATTCATTTTGCAGTGGAGAAAGCAGAGTCTCAGAGAAGGGGAGACTGCGTAGTGCGGTAGTGAAGAATTTGGTCTCTGGAGCCACACAGCCCGGGACCTGATCACCTTGTCAAACTGTTTACACTTTCTCTGCCTCAGTTTCCTCATTTATAAAATGGGGGTGATAATGGTGCCAGCCTTATAGGGCCAGTGTGAGAATTAAGAGTTAAGGCCCTAGGAAGGCCTAGACTGGGGCCTGGCACACAGTCAGCCCACAGGAAATGTCACCACACAGCTTGAAGCTGGGCCTTAAGTCAGCATGAGAGACCGCTGATGCAGAAGAGAATGGAACGGGCAGGCAGTGACAGACGGTGACCTTTAAGGCTGATCCTGGAGAGTTCCCCACCATCTGCTGGGCCTCTTGTGTCTTCCTGCCATGAGCTCCATGCTCAGTGTTGAGACTGAGAAGCCAACTTAACTTTCAGATAATGAGTTTCTTGCTGACACACAATGGGCAGGGGAAGGGGGAGTGGAGGGAGGGCACATCTGGATGCCACTCTAAGCCTGGTGGTGTGAGTTCTCTTGTCTCCCATGAGCTGGAAGTGCCATAAAGGCTCATGGCTACTTCTACAGTAGAGTCACAGGGTCTATCCCTGGGGAAACTTTGTGGCTTAGATCTCACAAGATATTCTGTCCAGGATGTGGCTTTTTGGCCTTCAAAGCATTTTCATTCCATGAAGAGGAGGAACTCTACAGAGCCCCTTTTGCAGCCTGTCCATCTTGATGAAAGCTCTGTCCTTCCAGAGCCCAAGCCAAAAAACTTCTACCTCTCAGCAAACCCAGCAGGCTTCACTTTCAGAACTTGCCCTGGACATAACCATCCCTCTTCCATGTCTTTCCCCTGGCACCTTGCAGAATTCCTCTTCCTCCTCTCCCTGCTTCCAATCAGTCTGTCCACAGCCAAACCTTCGTTCAGCAGGTGGAAAGATCTTTCTGAAATCTGAATGGAATCTGTTCACCACCACCCCCCCCCCCTTATTGGCTTCCTGTTGCTCCTAGATTAAAATCTGAGCTCCGTGCTTGTCTGAGAGGCCTGGGGCTACCTGATGCTCCTACCACATCCATAGGTACC